AAACACATCAAATCTATTGTATCATTGAATTTCTTTTAGAATACCAATGCAGCTGTTGCCACTCCACTTTAGCCTCTAAACGGTCAGTGTGAAGCCAGCTAGCTTTGGGACCCCACTGATACAGTAGAATTTATTTGTTATTGTGGGTTATTTTTCTGCTGCTATTTAATGTCGGTATTCCAGTAGGTAGATCCTCGATGATTGGCTGAATGACATACCCTAGACACAAGTTCTCGTCAACAGTCAAAGAACAATGTTTATTAAAATAAACGAAAATTGCTGACAAAAAATACAATTACAATCCCAGAAAGGCAGTGATGCTCGAATAAATGTGCAACATTATCTCAATACTGCAATGCCACTAACACTGTGTGTGTTAATACAACAGCTATAATATGATTGTTCTGACACAATGGTTAGCATGGCGAGGTAACTGTACTTTAACTATATTCCGGCAAATGGCAATATAGGCTATACACAGACATAACTTTGTACTGACAGACTACTCACTCGATTATTAAATCTCAATTCACGCAAGCAAGGCTACTAAATTTACTAAACAATAAATATCACAGTAAACACGCAAGTGAGAAACACACTTCCAGCCATTGTGGCACTGCTAAAATAACACAGTAGAAATTTCAACAGTTGGTACCTCATATGCAAACATATATGAATAATTGCAACTTGTTGCAAGGCACATACCAAAGCAAACACACAAACACGATATCAAGCTAAAGCAATGAAATGCTAAACGTAAACACAAACAGGAGAATTACGAATAAAGGCAAGGACTAGATATAAATCGTCTACTTAGCATTAGTCAACAAAACAGCCTGTTATCACAATTGACAGTCTCAAACACACAGACTCAATCACGGCGATTTGGTACAACGAACAGGTAAAATGGGTGCATAATTCAAGTGATATTCAATTTCTTGAATTATTAAATTACTCACAAAACGTGTTACCAGTTCGAAACAAAGTTGACACTAGTTCAATGAGACGGAGTTTCCCACTTTGGTTCCTGGGGCATTCTTCAAAAAATAGTATGAAGTCGAGCGCCGATTTGGTCAAATGCGTGGATTTCTGTTCGAAGTACCTGGTCCGCCCGTGTTGTTGAGCTTTATTTAGCAATCACAGAACGTAAATTGTGTCTTTTTGCAACGACCTTGAATGTTTCCCTATGTGGTTCTTCTGTGGTTCAAAGCCCAACAGTAGGAGTTGTTGTACGTACATTCAGTGTTCCTATATATATAGTTACTGCTATAACATGACAACATTTTTTGCTGACATTAGATTGACTGAAAGTGTGCAAACGTCTGTGAACACTTACATTCTGTAACAGTGACCATCTTTGGTAATTTCGTTTGTCACAACACTGGAGGGCAAAGATTTATCAATTTAATTATATTTATTATCACACGTGGTGGGTCGATAATTATGTTGATAATTATATTTATTTTTATTAAAAGACGTACAGAAACTTTTGCTAGTATTATCATATAAAAGTGTGAATAATATAATGAAAATATTCCTGGTTAATGTACTGACATTTCATAAGCATTTGAATAACTGGTTTATGTGATCAGTGATATTATAAAAAGTAACGCAAAAAGGAAATAATAACGCACATTATTATACATCTGTTACCGTAACGCCATAAGTTACAGCGTGCTGTAATTTTGCGGTATTTTACGGGATATTTCTTCCTACCATAATAATAAATATAATAAACATGGGTGCTCCAAGATATTGATCGGACTCAAAACAATGAAGTTCGCTGATTCTGTTATAAACATTTTGGATTTCGGCATTCCCATGGTGTATCATTGGAAGGAAAAGATGTATATTAATAAGATTATCACGAGAATACCTCAAAGTATGCACTCAGACTGTACGCCGCGCATCGACCTCTGCTGCGCGTCTGTCGATACTTTTTGTGCATACTTTGAGGTATCCTCGTAAGGGACGACGTCGAAGAATCGATGTCGGATAAAAAACATATTTGCTTTAGTTTTGGGTGGG